CTGCTAATGCTAGGCCTTTGTTCGCTTTGAGCATGTTGACAGTGTTGAGGCAGGAGGTGACGTCGGAACTTTCCATGAGGGTGTCGCGGATGAGTTCGATGTCAGAAGGGTGAGGGGCGGCGATGCAGTCGTAAATGGTGGCGTTGGTTATCATTTCACGTTTGGGATTTTTGGGTGGTGGTTGGCCTTTGATGTATAATGGAGTGCCTGAGTATAGTGTCAGTGACTGTCGTGCATATATGGTATGCTTGCATGAGAAGCTCGTCGGAGTGTTGAAAAAGGAACATACTGCTTGCATGACATGCTTGAAGAACGTTCAAAGCTCTCCTCATGTCACCTTTGCTCAGCCGTACAAGACTGTCAACTGCCTCAGGCTGAATTTTGACATCTTCTTTGTTGATCACGATATCGACGAGCTGCCTAATATCTGGTTCTTTGAGAGGACTGAACCTGAACCTCGTGCATCTTGATAGTAATGCTGGCGACAGCTTGTGGGTATAGTTGGCGATTACGCAAAATCGCGTATTGGCCGTGTATTTTTCCATGATCCTCCGCAAGGCCATTTGAGCCACTGAAGTCATAGCATCGGCCTCGTCCAAAACAATGAGCTTGTAAGCTCCTGATGAGGGCGTGTCACCGGCCTTGGGCGCTGCTGAGAAGATCTGCTTGGTGCCTGAACTTTCAATCAGCATCAGGTAGACTCCTCCCCAACGCTTGGTACAAACTTGCAAAAGTCTTGATTTGTTCCCGCACGACGTCTATGCCTCTATCATCACTAGCATTGAGCTCGAGCACCATCTGCCTCATGTTTCTGTTGCCATAAATTCGCCGTGCTAACGCGAGTATTGTTGATGTTTTGCCTGTACCTGGTGGGCCGTAGAGTAGGAGATGGGGCAATCGCTATACTATCATCAGCGTGTGGCAGATTGCATAGAAGCGGAGGATATAAACATTGGTGTCGACAAATTTGTTGATTGTGGCTAAAATATCTTGATGGCCCGAGACATCGTCCAATGTGTCTGGTCTGTACTTCTCTACCCTGTAATGATAAGCATGGCACCTTAAGGTAGGAGACTCTACAATCACCAAGGTAGGCTGTCCTCTGCCTCTACGGGCAGGTTTGCCGCGCTTCTTTTGCCCTTTGCGTTGGTATTGTCAGAGCTGAACATGACCGACTCCTTGACCGGGGCATCATCCACGTCCATCTCATCTTCGTAATCTGACATGTTGGCAAGATGAAAGAAGAGTCGTATTGTCAACCGAAGTGTAGCTCTGTTTGTAAAGACATGATATTGAGACGCGAGGCGCGTAAAGTGGGCCTGCAGTGTGCTCAGCCCTACGAGGCTTGGCATTTGGATTGCGACTGCCTATGAGCCTCAAAGTTCCTTGACGATGGCAACACCGTAGCCAAAATGCCCGTAAGTCTAATTCTTCTCCCACCTTGAGCTGTTAGCTACTGACATGGCATCAGGCGTATCACTCCATCTTCCTCCAGGATCAAAATGTCCGGTTAATAGGTCAGTCAACCGTCACTGCCAAGAGCTGTCCCTCTACCTCAATGCTTGCCCTACCCAACTGCTTGCTCAGCTCGCTCTGACCCGATACAGGCAACTTTGCTCTCCTTCCTCTCCGAACTCGCACCCGTGGTCCAGCCTACTCTCTTCCTGCCTTGGCCCCAGGTACCTCCGAGCTTGAAATCGACCCAGACAGCGAGTCATACGACTCCCTAGATGAAGTCCTTTCCCTTTTCCGAGCAAACACGTTCTTCCGAAATTTTGAAATCAAAGGGCCGGCAGACCGATTACTCATTTATGGCATACTGTTCTTGGGCGAGGCATTGGGGAAGATAAAGCCGACATTGGGTAAGAAGGAGGCAGAGAAGGTACGTTTGCTTATACAGAGCAAACGCAAATGCAGCGCCTTTCAGGTCACAGCTTCGCAGAGAGAGCGGTGCTGATGAAGACCGGTGATCTAGGCACTGCTGAACGCAGCATTGGACCAATTTGCAATTCCGGGGGATGCTAGCTTCCCATTGAATCAGGCATTCGAGGCGCCGAGAGATCGACAAGATGCGGAGACCTTGAGACAGTGAGTCTTGCTCAAAATTACTAGCACCCCAGACCCTTCTCACGAAATCAAGGTATCTGTCTCAGGTGAGACAGGAATTGGCAATGAGATTACTTGCGCGTGTGTATGCAGATGGCAACACACCGTCGAAAGTGAGTGTTCCCACCCTTTTACTGCGGACTTGGATAGGCATTGATGATACGCACTGATGATACAATAGTGGTGGCTGAGTTTCACGAAGCGCAAATTCATGGGCAAATCACTATAGTAGCTTCTCATTGGAGCAGCAGGAAATATAGTCACCTGTTGAAACAATATTGCCTTCCAGTGTATCTGTCAGAAATCGAGGGTGGTCCTTGTGTGTACAAAGCTAGCGTTCTAGAAATTGGAGCATAGTACGATAATGGCCTTCCTCGATCCATTGCCTCCGATATTTTTGACGAGATCTTCTCATGTATACTCGTCAATGGCGATGGATCTTAGGGTGTCCTGCACCGTGTACGGCAATGTGAATCGAACGACGACTCTCGCGTGCCTTCATTGCCCCGTCTTTGCCGAATCGAGGAATATCTTGCTTACTGTCGTCGTTGCTGAAATAGAAACGCCGCGGAAGAGCTCAAATGGCCAGATGGCATCGAAACCCTCTTCAATCTAGTCTATGTATCTACAAATTCAAGGTAATAGAAGAACACCTAACAGCATTGGGATGGCATGGGGCCCTACTGCAAATCGAAGGGAGGCTCCCCATGTCGCAGCGAGTCACTACCATACACCATATACGAGCTCAGGGCAAGCAATCGAGCTCGGTAGCAAATTTGAGTGATATCTGTCAGCAATCAGAAGAATGACTGTGGCGATGAGAAGTAGATTTTACAGAGACACTCTAATGATCCTGCATCGAGCCTGGCCAAGTGCTTTGAAAGCCAATCTAGGCTCGCTGATCGGACAGCTTCAGACGGTTCGCTAGAGTTGCCGCCAGAGCTTGCGGACTTTTTGGCTCAACTTGACGCTCAGAACATGGCTCATATTCAAGCTTGAGAGGCGAGAATACGTCAAATAATTGCCACTTCTGGTTTCAATCACGCTGCGAGGACCACGCGATGAATGTGCCCTGAGTTGAGGCCCCGTGTCACGAGTCTGATGCAAGGGACTTCCACAGCCAGTTCTAAGCAAGGCCAGCGACCCTGCTGTTTTCCCACAGATAATAATTCTTTCTCTAGCAGTAGCCAGCCTCATTCTACCTCAGAGATTCGCCTATCATGCCCAAATCCAAGAACAAGAAAGAAATTAAGGATTTTACTGCAGGTAGATCTCCGTCCACCGATCGATTGCGGCTTCTACCTCTTGAGATACGATTACGCATCTACGACTTTGCTTCGGAACCCTTGACGGTACATGTCAGAAGGAAATGGAAAGGGCGTGAAACAGCATATTCGCGGCTTCTGTCATTGCCTCGGGACAAAAGATACATCGCTTTCCGCCAGCGACACCCTGGTAAGGCGCATGAAGCTTGGCCACCTTCCATTGAAGAGGCATTGTTCATAGGTATAAAGGTCGCTGATGTAGCAAATGTCAATATTGCTTACAATCAGTATAGCTCTGGAATGGACTCAGGAAATCCTTGGCGGAATTCCAGGCTTCGGACACATCATGAGTGAAATCATCTACGAACATACTGGGGAGCACCGAAGCAGGAAGAAGGTTGCTACCTACCTTGGATACTTAAAAGTGCAAGAGCTACACCTGCGACCCAAGAAGTCTCAAGCTGATACCCGGAACGTGCTCGACAATAGTTTACGTGAGACCCAGCGAATGGTTGAAAAGATTCAGAAGGAGTCCAATGCACTTCTCCGTCTCTCAAATGCCACGTCCGCAAGCGTTGGATCAATGCTCCAAAGTCTCCAGGATATCGCCTCCCAATTACCCGCAGCGATTCAGGCCGACCAGCAATTCCTCTCGCTTATGGACCAGCCAAACCCTACACTAAATGGCGATGTCAACATCTTCCGCGAGTTTACACGGATAGTTGCCGACTACGTCAATGACTTTGACATCTATCTCGCGGCCCCTCTACCTGAGTGCTACTTCTCTCTCCTTTCCATCTCTCGCTTCTACCGTATCGATGCCCTTGCCAACATGGCATCCAGCATCGTTTACGACTTTGGGAACGAATTGACCATGCTGCGTGATTTCAGCAAGCTCCTCAGTCCAGGATCCCAACGCTATATCAGGCATGTCAAGATCAACATGGTCGAAGCTTTCATGCTCCACAACGAGACTCTGCCATTTATCTCGGAACCAGCCCTCAGCAAGAACTTGGAAGCCACATTGCCCAGCCTGCGCACCTTAACCATCGACCTTTGGCCACGCGATCCAGCGCGCACGGACAAAGAGAGCAGAGCATGGGGTGAGCAGAGCGAAGTCCTTATCCAATCTCTGCACAATGTTAAGGCGAAGGTGAGACTGCAGTTGAGATGGGCAGCGGATTGTGAGAGGTTTGAGAGAGAGTATGTGAGGAATGGGGAATGGAAACGTGTTTGGAGGGACATGCCCGAGGGCCAGTCAAACAGCAACGACGGGATCTGTCACAGCTGCTATGAGCTCCATGGCAGTAGTTACAAGGAAGTGGAACGTTGTGGCAGCGAGCGCATTTCGGGCCCATCAGGCCGGTGATTTCAGGCCGGTAGCTTGGCATGTCGAGGCTTAGACGATATCAGTATTGGGGGCAATACATGTTGGGTACTAGATCCGTACTCTCTGTCAAGGGTTTGGAATTTACAAATTCGAAGTAAGGGGTTTTGGTGCCTAGCAAAGTCGATGCAAGGGGATTCTGGCTCTCATCTGCGGACGTGCTTTTAAACCTCTGAAAGGGACGTTGTTTTGCTCTATCGAATACTGTGAACATCATCAGTAATCACCCTGCTTGGAAAGCTATGCTGATCGATTCACTCAAGACCCTCCCACCTGAATTGCGGGAGTTTGTCTACTCCTACTTATTGTCCGGTGACGAAGACGGTACAGTACGCATAAGACAGAGACGGAATGTTGAAGACGGGCTCTGGTCTACCGAGGATTTATCTGCCGTACTCGCATTAAATGAAAACCCAATATATGTTGCCCGCCGTCGAAAAAGACCTCATCAGAATTGGCCCAACGAGGTCGAGGATGCCCTTTTCCAAGGTATGTGAAGATGAAGTCTCAACATGCACGTACTGATCCACTAAAGCAATGGAATGGCTTAGCAAATACGACGTAAGATCCCGTCGACTTCCGAGCGGGAACAGGGTCATATCTGAGCTCATCTACGAGCTTACGGGGCAAGTGAGAAGTCGGAAGCAGATCTCGAACCATATCCAAGTATTGAGGGTGTATTCGCGCCTCGGACGAACCGAAACTGCGCAAGACGTCGATACACAGCAGGCTACCAAAGTCGTGAATCTTGGACCGGCAGTCTCGTATGAAAATTCAACAATCTTGACCAAAATTTCCGATTCCTTCTCGACCATGGCATCGAAATCAAAAGGAACCCTCTCGCTCCGCTGCAGCACCACCTTCGCCCGTAACCTCCTCTCCCTTAGCCTTGTCAACCGTTTCTACCGGAACGAGTGCCTCCATCATCTAGCATCAAACATACGTTTCGACTTCGGATTTGACGGTCATGCACTGCAGCACTTTTGCAGTACCGCGCCCGCGGAGATTCTCAAAGCAATGCGCCACTTGCGCGTCACGTTGGTCGAAGGCTATATGCCTCAATTGCCCGACTTGCCGAACCTTCACACTCTCGCTGTTGATCTGTGGCCGCGCAATCCGACACGCAGGCCGCAAAACATACACCGCCCGGATTCGACTGATAGGGCGTGGGGCACGCAGACGGAGAAGCTCCTGGACGGTTCGGGGGTGGTGTTGGCGGTGAGGGCCAGACTCAGGCTGGAGATGAGATGGGCTGCGGATTGCGAGAGGTTCGAGAGGGAGTATGTAGAAAGGGGACGATGGAGACGAGTGAATAGAGAAAATGAAAACGGTGCTTCGGATCAAGAGGGACCGACTTGTCGTAGGTGCTACGAACTGTGTGGCAATGGGAAGACTGTTGTGGAAGTGACAGGAAAGGAGAAGGAAGCAGCGTCTGCGGGTGGTGGGCTTGTATTTTGAAAGTTTCGCGTTGCTCCTAACACCGACGGAGACCATCATGGCAAGACATAGTAGTGTCTCGAGAACGCATTCCTTCGAGGTAAGCCAGGTTTTGATGGACGAGGTCCAGATTTGCTAGCAGCTTGCCCTTCCATAGCCCTTGAGTTCGCCATCGACTGCGGTATGCTGGGCGAAGCAAGACTTACATAAAGCCTTGAAATTTCTCCAACACGACTTAACAGGCGAATATATCCCAACGGCCGAAATAGCGCGTTATCGTCAAGTTTCGAAAGCAGTGGGATAAATACTGCAACGACAACGCACGCATTTAATAGCTGAGCTCTCTGAGATTGTTGGTTCTCTTAGAAAGTTGATAGTCGCGTACGTTGACCAGATCAAGAACACAATGCTGTGCCCTGCGAACGTGATCGGAGGATTGAGTAGCTGCGTTCAGGAAAGAGCGCTCGGTGTCGAGAGGCGAACGCTAGGGTTGTTGTGGACCTAAGCTGGGATCGCGGCTGTCGATACTTCAAGGGGAGTTATGTGGATGAGGAGGATTGAAGACGATCGAGAAAGTGAAGGGTTTGCGGGCCAGTATGGCTGGTCACACGTGACTTGTAGATTATGGCAAATTGTTGAGAAAGATAGGAGGCTGATGACGCGCTGTGCCTGTAGTGCGGGCATCGCTGTCAGATGGTCGATACGAGAGAAGAATGTGCTGGAGATTTCAAAGATTTAATAAGCAGCGAAGCTTCTTGAAGCACTTTAGAGTGGCGTAAAAGGCGTGAACGTTCTTGCTGTACTACCTAGCACGAACAGTAGGTGCTTTCACCCGGGGACTGGCATTCGTGGAGGCCTTGGCTTTGGAATGCTTGATGCCTTTGGAGCCAGTAGTAGCAACTTTCGATGGGTGCTTAACAGCAGTCGTTCCGTTAGTCGTCTCCTCCTTCTCGACTGACTTGGCGTTGATATCGGCCTTCTTCTTCCCATTCACGGCCTTGGGATTAATCCCTTTCCTCCTCAAGCGATTTCTCCTTGCCTTCTCCATGTATTTCTCATCCTCCGAGTCATCAAAACTACCAAAAGCTTGCTCCTCATCTTCATCATCAGTTGCGATCGGCGTCCTGTCTACCATACCCAATGGATCGCTATTCTTAGCGCCATTCGCTACTCCTTCCTTTGTCGACATATTTGGCGATGGCCCCGTCTTCTTGAACTTGCTCACGAAGAAGCCGTCAACATTGTAAGCGTGTGGGTAGAACCGTTTCGTCATCTTCATCTTCGGATCGAACTGCTTGCCCATGTAGCTCACAAAGCCATCTACACCAAATGTCAAGCCTGTCTCTACAAGCTTGACATTCGGTCGTTTCTTAAGAGCGTAATGCACAACCTGTTCGTTCTCCTCAATGGATACGCTACACGTCGAGTAGATGATGTAGCCTCCAGTCTTACTCGTGTGATCGACAGAGTCAATAGCGCAGAGTAAAAGCTGCTTCTGTAGGTGCGGCAGTTGCATGAAGTCTTTCTCCGTTTTGTTCGTCTTGATGCTGGGATCTTTCGCGATAACGCCTGTACCAGAACACGGAGCATCGAGTAGTACGCGATCGAAGCCACCGATCACCCTTGGAAATTCTCTAGCGTCATGGTTGCAAACAATGGTATTTTTGACACCGAGACGGTGAATATTGCCTATCAAAGCCTTGGTTCTGTTTTTGTTACTGTCATTTGCGAATATGCTGCCGGTGTTTTTCATCAAAGCGGCGATATAGGTAGTCTTTCCACCAGGGGCCGCTGTCATATCCAGAATCCTTTCATGTTCTTGAGGTGCGAGAGCCATAACGGGGAGGAACGAAGAAGCGGCCATGATGATGTACTGGCCGGCAAGATACTCCGGCGTAGCTCCCAAGGGTACTTGGCTTTCGAATACCTGCAACCCAACTTTCGACCACTTCCCCACAGGCTCAAGCGTCACGCCTTTGTTGATGAGCGATTGCGCTAGCTCTCGGCGATGGGTTCGGATGGTATTTGTGCGTATGACAACTGGGCGGGCAGATTCATTAGCTTCGAAGAATGCGAATGCTTCTCGGGGTGTGAAGAGGTTGAAGAGCTTTTCTGCAAGGTAGGAAGAGTAGCCGTAGTAGAGGCAGACATCTTTAATGAGTTGGGCTGTGTATTCGGCGCGGGATCGACCCGGTTCAGAAAGTTTGGAGAAGTCGTCCAGGACGCGGACGGTGTCTGTAATGCGTGATCGAAGGAGTTGCAGGTCTGGCGCCAGTCTCGATACTGGGCCTGCATCTTCATCCTCATCGTCCAAGACATTTGGTCGGTCACCATCTAGGTTGGTTTGCAAAGCTGCTTCTTCCAGCTCAAGCTGCGCCTCCGCTGCGTCTTCCTCTTGCCTTTCATCTAGTCGCCTCGACAGTCCCGCGATATTTGCAGCCGTGAGTTTCTCTTCGGCATCAGACTCATCTTCATCCTCCGAAAATCTCGCTTTCTCTTGCTGTGGGTCCGAATCATACACCGAAGATTCAGACCCTAAAAACTCATCCCCCAGGCCCTTCCCATCTTCCGACATGCCATCTTCCTCTCCACCAAGCAAGCCTGCATCCTTTTCCTCCTCTCCTCCTAAAAGGTCCGCCGCATCATCGTCGGTGCTAATTTCCTTCTCATTGCCTCTCAAAAAATCTGCCGCATCGTCGTCCGAGCTCTCGTCTTCGTCTTGCAGCGCACCAGACATGACAGCATCAGCCATCCTCATTCCCTTTCCGCCTTTTTGTCCCTTCTGCGCCTTGCCGAAGCCATTGGCGAACTTTCCCTTGGTAGCAAGCTTAAGTCCCGAGTTCGCAGTGTGATTGTATGCTGGATTCGCAGGTGTTGGCACTTTGATTTCTCCAGAGGCTTTTCTCTTCTTCCCTCTCGCAGAGTCGTCAAAGTCGCCGGCTTTGCGTTTCATCAGAGAGGAGATGCGAGACTCGTCCAAGGGTGGCGGCGGACCTTGCTTCTTCATGCGGCGACCTACTCCCATGATTGCGACTGTGGGTTCTTATAAGACTGTACTCTTGCAAAATTCGACCGCCGTCAAGCAGTCCCCGTTCAGAATCCAGAAAAGTTCGTGCGATAGGGCTGCCAGTTATCTTAGCGCCTTGGCACCTCTCCACTACCAAAGGACTAAAGTATGGAGCTCTCTCCGCGCTTTCTTACCTTAACATGCAATCCGAGCACCACGAAACCCTCTTCTCCATATTTAGCAAAACACACCCGCCTGACTACCTCCCTGACGGCACAATGACCGAACTATCCTTCGCCAAGACATTTCTCTCCTCACTCGACTCCCGCCCTCTCAAACTCGGACCAGATTACACTGCAAACCCCAAAACCGTCGAGCTGAATGGACCGTACACGCTGCCCAAGATGCCTACGCCATTCAAGCGGGCAACGCAATCGGGGCTGGTAGACGAGGCGGCGCAGAAGCCTAGTGTGCTTAACGTTACGCTGAAGAGTTCGAGGAATCCGGTGCTGAGTCTAAGCCTGCCGAGTACCGATTTGGGCACGACGGTGCTTGATTTCAAGCAGAGGGTGGCTTCGGATTTGAAGCTCGGAGGAACGGAGAAGATACGCATACTGTACAACAAGAAGCCAGCAGGGGATGTGAAGACGCTGAAGGAGCTTATCGGAGACGAGCCTTTACAAGCAGGTCAAGAATTAGAGCTAGGCGTTATGGTTATGGGATACAAAGAAGCCGATGTATCGAAGACGGAGGATTCGACTATGAGAGATGCGGAGGGAGAGACGTCAATTGCGCAGGGACCGAGTGGAGAGGAGGTGCTTAGTGCGGAGGAGTTCTGGACAGACCTTAAGGGGTTCTTGGTGCAGAGGCTACGGGATGAGGGGAAGGCTGGGGAGGTATTTGATAAGTTTAGGGAGAGTTGGGAGAAGAGGTAGCAGGGGTGCCCTAGAGCAGTGTTTTAAGGCATGGGAACGCGGGTTCCGTACACATATCGGCGAACAGCCACAGCAACTTGTTGGCATTCGAGAGCACCGGAATCTGATTTCAGAAGCTCGGGTAGGCACTGTCTCAGTAACGTTGGGCAATGGGCACAGAGCACGTGAAAGACGTCAAGCTTCGAGTCGTACAAGTAGTGAAACAGATGATCGATCATGAGCATGGAATCTATGCACCACAGGCTCTTCAAACTAGTTTGCCCACCAAATCTTCAACAATCCTTCCACCATTCCCATGCCGTCCTTCGTCAGCAGTGTTCCCAAGCTCCGCTCTAGCGCTTTCCTTTGCTGATGTCCTTCAGAATGGTTGCGTACTCTATTTCGTCATCCCGGTTGGCTTGTACTTCGGCTGCGATACCGTTAAGCGCGTTCTTGAGGGATTCCTTTGATGAAGCGTAGGTCATTCTTGGCTGTAAGATTCCCAGAATCAGCTTTATGTTAATGAGCATAGCGTGAATGACAGTCTTACGAAGACCAATGTTCCCTCATCTGGGCTCCACGAAATGAAGACAATCTTGTTCCTATCCCTTTGTCAGCCTCATCTTCCCGCCCAGGTTCCTTCTATTAAGAAGTCACAGCATACCTCGTTCCCTCACCCCCCTCCAACTCATACTGAAAGTCATAAACGGCATATCTGGGTCCCTTGCCCTCCTTCCCCTTATGCCCCGCCTTTGCATTCATCAGCTTGCTCTGAAACGTCTCCCAGTCAGGATCAGAGCTCGAGTCCTCGACGACAATCTCCTTGTAGTCATCGGACAGCTTGTAGATGATGTATTTGACCGATTTGCCTAGCTTGAGCTCATTGAACTTAGATATGCACTCCGGCGAGACGGAGACTCTAGTGGACGCTGTGGTGTTAGCGGAACGAGTTAAACTGGGGTAAAGCCGCGTTTCTTCGGTGTATTTTGCATCAAAAGGGAAGTAAGGCAGGTGGGAATGGGGGAGGGGTACCCGGATTTACTCTGTGAAACGGTTAGCACGTGCTTTTGTGTCGCTGGCGGAGGAGGCACGCGAAGGGCAAGCTTACCATGATTTCGTAGGGTCGAGAAGACCAAGAGAGTGAAGATAGATAGGATAGTTAGACAGCTGTATATCCACCACGGCGTCAGCGTCAGCTTGAGTCAACTTGGCAGCCTGGCACAAGGGCGTGCAGGTGGGGTGGGGAAGGATGAGATGGAAGGCACAGAAGTTGATTCGCATACCAAATAATAGCAGCTTACAATATTGTGGGCGGTGCTTTGGTAGCTGGTTGTTGTGTAGAAAGGAAGTAGAGTACCTAAGACAATCCTTGCCGTTGCGGTAGTGGGGAGCAACATTGTTGTCGCTTGGCGGCTGGTGGGGCGAACCTTTGCTAGCGCCCTTTCCTCGAGTGTACTCCAAGGATTGAACGACGCTGAAAGAAATCTAGTGGTGACAGATGAACGGTGAGGTACTGAATGTTTTGAGTTTTTGTATTATGATCCAAGCTATGGACACTTTGTACATTTGTATCTTACATGAAATCGACCGCTTTTGCTATGCTATCAGGCAGGGTGCGAAAGTAACCTGAGTGGAGAGACCCAAGGGGGGTGCGATAACGACACTTGCCGAGAATCAAAGTCATGTCCAGTACGCCGGCTGTGGATATCGACGAAGAGAAGCAGGGACGGCATGTCCGCTTAAAACATGCCTCCACCGCCCATGCCACCCATTCCTCCCATGCCTCCGCCTCCCATACCACCACCTGGCGGCCCCTTCTCTTCTGGCGCCTCAGTGATGGCGACCTCCGTGGTACCAAGCAGCGAAGCGACGCCACTTGCATCAACGAGAGCAGTGCGGACGACCTTAAATGGATCAACTATACCGGAAGCGATCATGTCAACATATTCGCCTTTTGCGCTGTCAAAGCCCTTGTTAAAATCTGATCCGAATTCATCCATAAGCTTGCCAACGACAACGCTACCTTCAGTACCAGCGTTCTCGACAATTGTCCGTGCTGGGCGAGTGATGGCGCTCTTGATGATACTGACACCCAGCTGTTGATCAAAGTTGGTGGGCTTGACGGAGCCTAGCGCATTGGCGGCAGCTTTCAAGAGTGCAGTCCCTCCACCTGGTAGGATACCTTCCTCTACGGCTGCACGGGTCGCGTTCAAAGCATCAACAACGCGGTCCTTCTTCTCTCCAACTTCAATTTCGGAAGCACCTCCAACCTTGATCACAGCCACGCCTCCGGACAGCTTAGCCAGGCGCTCTTGTAGCTTCTCCTTTTCGTAGTCTGACGTTGATGGATCATTCATGACGCCGCGAATCTGCTCGCATCTCTGTGCTATCGCGTCTTTGCTGCCCTCGCCGTTGAGTATGATGGTGTCCTCTTTCGTAATCGTGATCGAGCCAGTTGATCCAAGCATATCCGGCGTAGCTTTCTCCAATTTGATATCAAGCTCGTCCGTGAACACAGTGGCGTTGGTGAGAATGCCGAGATCGCCCAGAATGGATTTGCGGTTGTCACCAAAACCAGGAGCCTTGACAGCGGCAACTTGTAGCTGACCACGTAGCTTGTTGAGGATACAGACTGCCAAAGCTTCTCCATCGATGTCCTCAGCAATGATGACAAGTGGGCGGCGCATCTGAGTAGAGGCTTCGAGCGCGGGTATTATGTCCTGGACTGCGGATATCTTCTTCTCTGACAGTAGGATCAAGGGCTTCTCGAATTCAACCTTTTGGGACTTGGTATCGGTGATGAAGTATGCGGAGGTGAAGCCACGGTCGAATCTCATACCCTCGGTGACCTCAAGCTCGTCCTCGATCGTCTTTCCCTCTTTGACAGTGATAACGCCCTCCTTGCCAACCTTCTCCATAGCATTTGAGATGAGCTTTCCCACATGGGTATCACCGTTTGCTGAGATGGTGGCCACCTGAGCAATCTCTTCGCCAGTGGTGATATCGCGCTTGTTGTTCTGTAGATATTGCACCACTGCTTCGACAGCGGCTTGTGTACCTCTCCTCAAATCCATAGGATTGCATCCGGCAGCGACGTTCTTGACGGTCTCAGAGAAGATGGCGCGAGCGAGGACAGTGGCGGTTGTGGTACCATCACCAGCTACCTCGTTTGTTTTCGAGGCAACATCTTGTAAGAGACGGGCACCAAGGTTTTCGAATTTGTCCTGTAGGGTGATCGCTTTAGCGACGGTCACACCATCTATATGCTGATCTTTAGCATGGGCATCTTTTCTCTAATGGTCTTTTGGGCGGCACCTTTGGTGATCTTCGGAGAGCCATAGCTCGATTCGATCAAGACATTTCGTCCTTTAGGTCCTAGTGTGGTTGCTACAGCTTTGGAGAGTGTCTCAACGCCCTTCAGTAGAGCCGCCCTCCCGTCGACGCCGAATTTAAGGTCCTACACAGCGCAGCGTTAGTGATTGAATAGCTTGATCGACGTTGCTAACGATCCTGAGGGACGATTTGAGGATCGATAGCAGGCGAGCTAGAGGAGCAAGCAAGACAGTCTCGCGTACCTTATGAGCAAATCTCTGTTGCTGAAAGTTGAGGGCGGTAGCAGCGGCCGGCCGTGATCTTGAAAGTGTGCTAGAGTATGGGGAGACTGATGGCAGGAGCGAAGCTCGCCCTCTTGAGCTGAGAGCTCGCTGCATATTTTCGACAGAGCTTGATCCTCGGGGTAAAGAAAGAGGACTGATGGATCTGTTGTAGACAGGACTAAGGTACCTTATAGAATGAGCAGTGGAAATGCAAAACTAAGTATTGAACCAGCGAGCATCAAAAATATTTCTGGATGATTCTTCGACTAGTCCTAAAAGCGTAAAAGTTGCCGAGTACCCCTGTCGTTTGGATATGGGGTTTTTCCGGAGTCCGGTTTACTCTTAACGTCTGTTCACTCCCTTCTCTCAATACTACTGCTGCTTCTTACTGATGGTTGTGCTCCTGTGATTGTCAGTGCCCTTCAGAACTGTTTATGTGTGCTTCTAAGTTTCTTCGCCGCACTGACTGGATCCAGACTGTCAGGATCAAAAAGGGAAAGGCTGAGAA